GGGACAGCCCGAGCAGGCTCAGTGACTGGGCCAGTGCAGACCATGCACTGAAGTCGGGGTTACCTGACTCGCAGGACTCCCCGGTCCACCCGGGCGCACAGGAGCAGGAGCCGCTGGCTGCGTGGTACAGCCCCCCGTTGCGGCAGGGGTGGCAGCCCCCCCCGAACCGTTGCTCCTCACAGCCTGCGGGACCAGAGGCAGTGGCGCACACAGTGCTCCAGGCAGGAGCACCCAGCACAGGCAGAGCTCTCTGGGTAAGGAAATCCGTTCCCACCCAGGACCTTTTCCATCCCGCTGCCTGAACGCCTGCACGTACTGGTGATATTTACCTTGCTCACAGGTGGGACCAGTTCTTCCCGGTGGGCAAATGCAGTCTCCGGTGATGGGGTGACAGGTAGCACCTTCCCCGCAGGAGCACACCCGCGCACAGTCCTTGCCATACCGACCAGCCGGACATCCTGGAGGGAGGGAAAGCTTGAGCCACCTCGGTCACACCAGGCACACGTGGCTGGAGAGGGAAGACTTCACAACGGAAGGTGAGTAAAGCCATGGGGAGGCAGGAGGAGTCCACAGCCCTGTGCAGCGCAGCTGACAGGCTAGAAGAGCTTTAGGTTTCCTTCTGCTGGAGGAGTGAAGCATTTTTAGCAGCAAGATGGCAATAGAGTGAGGCAAAGGCTGATGTGCCAGGCCCTTCACAGTGGAATCATTTTGGCATAGAGCAGACAGAGCAAGAAAATGTTTTCATGGTTAAGAAAGACAGTAAATGAGATGCACTCCCACACTTCGGCACTGCGGAACCAGCCTGTGCCAAAGCAGGGTGCCATTGCTGACAGTGCAGGTTGTGAAGTGACACAAGGAGCTGCTCTCCAGCTGATGGAGCAGTGCAGGATTGTCACCTGCAGGGCTGGCAGCCTGGCTCTGCGCAGGATTTGCACCCACCACCATTCACCTCCTGTCAGCTCATCCCTGGCTGGGTCGGTCACTCACCGATGCCGCAGTCAGCGCCGATGTAGCCCGCGGGGCAGTGGCACATCCCTGTGGCAGTGTCACACAGGGCCCCGTTCTTGCACTCACACGGCCTTTCACAGTTACGGCCGTACCACCCAGGGGAGCACTCTGCGGGAAGAAGGAAACGGTGCCTAAAAGGGAGAGAACCTGGTGCAAACACCCTGGAAAAGTCCACCACGTGCCTTCATGGAGGCACTTCATCCAAGAGGAAGCAGCCGGCTCTGCTGGAGGTGGGTTTGTGCCAGGCTCACACAGCCAATAGGTTTCTGATCCACTCTGAGCTGCTCCAAAGCAGTCATGAGTCAACCAGCTACAGCAATGCGCCAACTCGCACGCACACATCCCTTCCATGAGCTGCTTGTGGCAGATGTGACCCAGACACCACAGGCCCCCCCCCG